GAAGTTGAAAAAAGATTATCTCTAGTCAATCATGTCTGAAGATAGATTATCTGGTTTGGCCATGTTATTGATTGAAAAACGTGTGAGCTACTCTTGATTGTAGTGATTTCTTATGGATTTTACTCTTCAAAAATCTAAAAGAATGGGTTATTAGAACATCGTTGTATTTTCTTTATCAATTTTGGACCTTTTTGCTTTCGAAGAATATACTTATTCGTTAATAGTATATGATGCATTTCATATGTGTTTTACTTCTATTTAATTGATTTATTTAATTATGTTGAATAAAACAAATTTAAACAAAATGACTATAGCCGTCTAGGGCCTCATAATAGCTCTAGACAGCCCTGACCATGGTCTGTAAGTGGTATACCATACCAGTGAACAAAGAAGAAAACGGATGGGAAATGGTAAAATGAAAAAAAAAACGCACAGGGAGGAAGAAAAGAAGGAAGAAAAGAAGGATTAAAAGAAAACAAAAAATATAGACTAGTAATAATGTGCCACGTGTCTGGGTGATCTGCTGAATGGGTTTATGCAGGTCACCGGATTGTTTTGAGAATACCTCTTTATAATTTAGTTTATTGTAGAATTACGTGTATTTGAGGTTAATGTTGGAAGATCATTAATAGTTGGGATTATTAATGTGAATTTTTCAATTTGAAAATGTCACAATTATTGTAGCATTCATTTCCTAGAAAGGAAAATGTAGCAATTAAAATAGAGAACATTGTATCAATAGGCTTATATGATTTTTGATTGGTTGAAAAAACTATATGGTCAACAATTATTTTTCCAAATAGCCAAGCATATTCATGAGTTAGTAAAACACAAGATGAGTTGATATACCAGAAGTGACTAATTTTTTTACTTTATACTACGTAAAATTTTTATAAACTCTTTTCCATGGAAAATTTATTTCTTTGGCATATCCCAAATTTCAAAATAAGGGAACCGCAGCTAGGCAACTACACCCTTATATTGTGAGGTACTTCTAAATTCTAATCTTCTGGGTGTTTGGATCTCAAGAATATTAAGATGCCAAATAAAATTAGCAAACAGACAATAAATTAGTAAAACTAGTCTTTTACCTGCGCTGCATTGGGTAACAAAGTACAAAATTATCTATAAATTGGTTGAGTTTGCCCGATCAATTTCATTGAATTAAAATCAACATTTGTGACTTTGTGTTATAATACACGATATCAACTAATTAGTTTATTATTTTTTACTATTTAACAACATAGTTGTAGCAGGCCTACAAAATATCAACTTGGGACGTGTATTAGATTATTTTTCAAATATAAAGACATCAGTAAAGAACTTAATAAAAATGTTTATAAAAAAGCAACCAAAATAGATTATCGCAATGTACAATATCAATGTAATGCTCATTACATTACATTACAATACATGATTGATTACATCATACCAAACATAGCCTAAGTAATAAAAACCACGGTAAATCAAGAACATCGTCTCTCGACGAAAAAAAACATTTTTGTAGTAAATAACCTCGTACTAAAAAATGACATGGAATTAAAGAGTGAAGATATTGCCTTCAATCTCCACCTCAAACTAACATTCATCCCCAAAACAATATGGCTGTGTTTGGTATGCTCTAAGCAATGCAATGAAATAGAGTATGTAATGCAATAAAAACTGTAATGTAACGGAATGAGATCAATATTTCATTACTATGTTTGGTTAGCGGCGGCGGAACACACGAGAAGAAGGAAATGTGCAGATTTGAAAGGGAAAAAAATCATCTGCCGGGAGAGGGAGTAGTTGGTTGCACACAAAAAAATACAAGAAAATGTAATCACAAATACATAACTTGCCTATTCCATATTTTAAAGTAATGGGTTCCAAACATTGTATTTGAATCAACACGTAATGCTCATTACATTACATGATTGATTACATCATACCAAACATAGCCTGAGTTTTCAACCTTGATAGATTTCTGCAGTTTGCAAGGAGTTTTGGGTAAAAGATCCTCCATTTCCTTCTGCATTATCTCACAAACATCCCTTCAAAATTGGGATAATAGTCGTGACGTCATCAATAGTCTGAAGCTCATTGGTAACATAAAAATTAGCTAAATATTTTAGTTAAAAATATCTAAATATGGTTATTATTAATCCAGAATGTCAATTTAAATTTTAGAAGTTACATATCAATTAGAAATGGCAAAACAATGATATGTTTACAAATGTCAAAATGAAACATATACAATGTTTAAACTCAAGCTACGATTATTAAATTTTTTAAACATTACTCGCATTTGATGAAGTCACTCTTGGAAAATTGGGAAAGAACTCAAATCATCATTAGAATCCAATTCCGAGAAAATAGACACGGAAACAATTGAAAAGGATATTGCAACAATAATTTAAGGGAAAATAACTTTAAATAATATCAACTATTGCCCATAAACCAATAATAATACATACTTTGAAAATGATTTTTAATAATACCAACTATTTGAGTATAAACCAAAAATAATATGGAGTCACTTTTTGACAAGAAATCCAGTCATTTAAGACATTAAAAACTAATAGCAAATTATCAAATAAATTATATTTGTAAAAACATTCACTTATTTGAAATTTTGATACTAGTTTTTGATGAATTAAATAACTGAATTTTCATTGAAAAGTTGCTCCATATCACTTTTGGTCTATATTTAAATAGTTGGTATTATTAAAAGTAATTTCCAAAGTACGTATTATTCTTGGTTGATGAAAGATAGTTTGTATTATTTAAAGTTATTTTACCATAATTTAAATATAAAGTTGGTTCATTTACATACCACTTGTTGTGATATGACATGATTATTTTGTGTGAGACAGCTCATACAGAATACTTGTCACTTTTTTTTTAAAGTCTCCCTCGTTTATATCAACCCTAAACAAAAGATGTAGACTCACTAAATCATCAATTTCTTTTGACATGGTTGTCTCATGAATAGGGGTGGACTCGGGCCGGGCGGCCCGGCCCGGTTACTGTTTGGCCCGGCCCGGCCCGGGGCCCGGTGGGTCCACCGGTTCGGTTCGGCCCGGCCCGGCTGCTGGGCTTTCCGGGCTCGGGCCCAGTTTTTGGTGAACCGGCCCGGCCGGTTCGGGCCGGTTTTTAATTTTTTTTTTTTTTTTTTGAATTTTTTTTAAGTTTTGGGCTGGTTTAGGTATTTTGGGCCATTTGAGGTGGTTTGGGGTGGTTTGGGGTTGAGGGGGAGGGGTTGGGGGTTAAATAGAAGAGCCAAAAAAAAAAATTAGAACCGGTTAGGCCCGGCCCGGCCCGGCCCGGTTTGGCCCGGAACCGCCCACCGGCGGTTCGGGCTCGGGCCCAACTTTCTTGGCCCGAGGCCCGGCCGGGCCCAGGCCCGAACCGGGTCTGAACTGGCCCGAGTCCAGGTCTACTCATGAATGCCATTCCGAAAGATCAAAAAAAGTATTATAATACATATTTAACATATTTTTAGAGAATTACTTAAAACAACTCTTAGAGTCTTAGATATACCAGTTCCAATTGTTCTCTGAATTGTCCCACGGTTTTGTGCAACAATTGATGGCACTCGTGATCCCACAAACACAACGAAACATAGACTGAAGAATCCTTCACATTAAGAGCAATTTTATACAGATGTATTCCCTCGTTGAACATTTCATTACATGTAGTACACTTGTACAGTTGTACTTGTCCCCAAAATTAGATGGCTTTTTTGAGCAAGATTCTTTCTACACACCTTTGATAGGATCAAATTCTTCAATTGAGAATAGTTGTGATATTACCAAAAATCAAAGAAAATAATCAATTATTGCTAATTTAAAAAAGTAATCATCAATTATTACTTAAAGGTAGATATATATTCAAATGTTTAATATATGAAACTGATTTCTACAATATTTTAATTTTTTATCATCTACATATTCTAATACTTTTCCAACAATCTGGATAGAATAAGCATTATAGCCACACTACTATTTTGTGAATGCTACTTTAGTTCTACTCATCTATATTAATTCAAATTGTGGGGAGAAGCAGCTTACCTATTACAGAAGTCTTCAATTTCAGGGATACTCTCATCCACTATATCCATGGTACAACAGATGCAGTTTGCAAGAATAACTTCACCTATAATATTAAATGTCTTATTATGTCAATTATAAGGAATACATAAATAAGATTGCATCATCAATTTACATCAGTACTTTTCTCTACAATATTGGAGAAGCATGATGTGTAGCTCAACCGAAGTATTGGCTAGGGGTGGGCTCGGGTCGGGCCGCCCGGCTCGGAACCGGACCGCCCCAGTACTGTTTGGGCCCGGACCGGTACCCGGTCTTGGGGCCAGTTCGGGCCAACCGGAACCGCTCTAATCCCGGTGCGGGCTCGGGCCCCCTAAAATGTGAACCGGCCCGGCCAGTTCGGGCCTAATTTTTTTTTTTTTTTGAATTTTTTTTGTTTCTACTGGGTTGGACTGGGTGTTTTGGGGGGGTTTGGGGGTGGGGGGGTGAGGGGGGGGGGGGGTATTTAGAAAATCAAAAGAAAAAAAAAATTACATTGAACCGGAACCGGCCCGGAACTAGACCGGTCCAATACTGTTTGGGCCCGGCCCGGTACCCGGTCTTGGGGCCGGTTCGGGCCAACCGGAACCGCTCTAATCCCAGTGCGGGCTCGGGCCCCCTAAAATGCGAACCGGCCCGGCCGGTTCGGGCCTAATTTATTTATTTTTTGTTTTTTGAATTTTTTTTGTTTCTACCGGGTTGGGCTGGGTGTTTTGGGGGGGTTTGGGAGTTTGGGGGGGTGGGGGTGAAGGGGGGGTCGGGGTTATTTAGAAAATCAAAAGAAAATTAAAAAAAATAACATTGAACCGGAACCGGCCCGAACCGGCCCAGAACCGCAGGCTACCCGGGCCGGTTCCGGTTCCACCATTCCTAGTATTGGCCAAATTGTTCAAAGCTTGTGCATACTCACCTCATAGTGTACACATTACTTTTTACTGGTGATAAAAAAATATGAAAACAAATGTCATATTCAACAACAAATGTAAAATCTTTTTTTTATATCAATAAACATCTTTATTCTTTGGGTTCATTTACAAAATCGCTGCCAGTACCCCCAGAATCGGTGGGTGTAATACCATGCAGCAAAACAGTTGTGTTGTCAATATTAACACCTTCCACTTCACATTTGACAATTCCATCTGCATTGAAAGGCTTAAGGCTCTCCAATTTTATGCAAGAAACTTTTTCTGACATGGGAATTTTTTCTGAATGTGAAGACCGGACACTTTCCATCGGTACGTTCTTGATTTTCTGCTCTTGGAATTCAGCTTTGGGGGGTGAAATCGCACTTTCCACACAAATTCCTTGATCAAGGTACTCCGACTCCAAAGCTTTGTGGTCTGGTTGAAGCCCAGAAAATACCATATGGTCTTTATAATTTTCCAGTGTGGTTTGCATTGCAGGTCCATCTTTTCCTTCAGTTGCATTACTGGAAGCAGAGCTTTCACTCTCCAGTAAGAGTTTGCCAGCAACAGCCGCCAACAATTCAAATGCACAGATTTGGTTATCTTCCTCACTTGGGGTATACCTCCTTCTACATGATCTAGGTGCTCCAGGTACAACAGGAAACCGGTAACCATTCGATCCATACTTTAATCTCTTCTTCATCACCATTATTAGTTTTCTTCCTGCACAGGCTGATGGAATGAAGAATTAGAGCACAACCCAAACAAGAAATGCTTCAATTTTTCAAAAAAGAATTTCTTTTCGGCCTTGAAATGAAAATGGTTTATGAGTTTCCCACGTCAAATGAACGAAAAAACCTCTGGGTTTGGAAAAACCAGCCAAAGGTGAAAAAACAGCGCTAAAACCCATTTCTCTCTCCAAGATCTCTCTCTTCTCTTCCCACTCACACGCACCACAACTCGTGTAAAATCATAATGTTATTTAATAATTTAATCGTTACTTCTAACAGGTTGTTTTGATGGTGCTATACTCCAAATCTTCGAGTATGAATTCTGCTGGTCGCGACAATCCATTTGATGGCAATGAATACTTGGTGTTGTCATAGTGAAACTTTTCAATTGTATCTTACTCATATTTAGAAAAAAACGGAAAAACTAAAACTTGAGTTCAGCGAGAATAAAGCATTTAAAAAAAGGATGTATTATTATGAATTATTACCAAATAAGTCATCTCCAAGTCTCTTACTCATATTTAGAATCTTGGTGAAACAATACAAATCCCTAGAAAAATCTGTCTCTAATGATCTTTGTGTTCTTAACAAAAATATAACACATCCAAAACTCAAAAATAACTGAAACATTTTTTTTACAATCAAATTAACTAAAACCTAAGTATGACACATAAGCTGCATATTACCAGCACAACTTCTAAATGGTCCAAATATAACTATGCTCCACAACAACATAGCCAACTCTTTTTTATTGTAAGCAACATACCCTACTTTTAAGTTGTATAAAGATATGTAAATAGCTATCCATATTTTTCTAGAACACACACTTTCAAAGCATCGCACCACCTATCTTGTTTTCTAGTTGAGATTATTTTATACCACCCAAAATATTTAAACTCCAAAGTTTGATATGAAAGAAGCACAAAACCTACTTAAAATGTATCATACGAAATTTAAAAAAACAAAAGATCAAAAAAATCACATAAAAAATTCATATTCTAATTGGAAAAAACCTTACCAAATAACTTGGAAAACAAAAAGTCAAAAAATCTCATAAGATATTTATATTCTAAATGGCAATAAACCTTACCAAATAATTTTAAATCGCTGTTAAATGTGATTTCAGACCCTTGTCCAGTTGGGTGAATAAGAAAATTTTATTACAGAAAGTCAAATATTGCTCAGATTTATCAAGTTCCTCTCCTAGAGATACAGATGAACCAACTTCTACTCCCCAATTTCACAAATTCATATTAATGGTTCACCATTCAAATATGTGTGGAACACCATTTTGCAAAGCCTATTTCACATTCAATGGGTCTCTCCTTTTTTCTATTCCTTATTCAACTTCACAAATTATTACACTTTATTTGTCACGTTCAAGATATTATCTTCTTTCAGATGATATCTTTGTTTATTAATTCTTTGGCTTGATGAGCTTCACTTCTAACAATCCAACAGTCTCAACACGAAATCACCATTAGGATTAAAAAAAGTCAAGCATTACAGGTTTTCAAATACTGTGTTATGGAATGGTATGGCATAGTCCCTACAGTGGAATTTTTGGTGAAGCAAAATGGAATGATAAGCATATTTTATTAAACTTTGTTGAAAAAAGAAAGCAACATGCTGGTATGTAAGTTGCATATGATCAAAATGTGGTGGGAATTTTTACCAAAACAAATGTGGTGGGAACATTAAAAACTCAGAATACTTGCAATATGTAGAATACTTCCACCTGGTTGCGAACCTCATTTTTTAGAAAACTAAAACACGATGTTTAAAAAAGCACCAATTGCTAAGCTTTTTATGACCAGAGTTCAGCCTAGTATCTATCTCTACTTTGATCAATTTCTTTAAACCACTCTACTCTACAATGTCTATACCTTTACTTCTAAATGTAATCTAAATGCTCCTCAAATCATATACTACAATATATCCTATATAGTTTATGACTTACTGCTTATGTTTGTTCCAAATCACAACACATCCATGTTCCACATGTACCCCACATTTGACTACACTTAACCCACATGTACCCCACATTAAACTATTTCCAAACACACTCAAATAAAGAAAGCAGAAGTAAGCATATTAATCCTGAACTATGCACATATGCCCAGACAGATTAAGCAAATTAGATACATAAAGAAAGGCTCTAAGTTTCTCCTTAGTCACAGAGTCATTACATCATGCCCGAGTAAAATAACAATGAAAGAAAAAAAAAATTATAGTAAAACTCAATAAATGAGAAATTATGCAGTCTGCAGAAATAAGAACTACACTACATAATAAGAAATTAGTAAGAGTTGTACCTCCTCAATGATAACGATTTCAATCATATATGGTTCGGATGAATTTCCCGTGTTAGCAACAATCCATCTTACTACTATCAGTATTAACATAGCCTTGTCATCCAACTGCGTGTTAATATTCATCAAAAAGACCTTGAAGGGAGCACTTGCACTCAATGGAGAATAAAGCATTTGTCCCCCACCGGAAAGCTATAAAAACAATTAAACACTAAATGAAGCATATGTTTGGCAGTACTCATGACCGAGTGACTCAAGTATAAAATACAAACTTCTAATAAAGAAAAAAAAAAGATGAAACCAAACAGTTTTTTCCAAAAACAAATGAAACCAAACAGTCACGGATTCACTATACTACTGAGCTGAGCCTCTAAGAGACCCACTAACAGTCAAGGCTAGTTACCACGAACAATAACCTCCCTTTTCTCTTGAACTTCACGAACTTTCTTCTCCATTTCCTTGTAATCTTCAAGAGCGAAATTGGAATAGCTTCCAGCTTTTTTCACTCATTCCTTCAACACTTTCTCTAGGTCGATGTTGCATAGCACAGCAAGTGTACATTTGAAGCTATTCCTTGACTTCATATGACATAGAGAAACGTTGTCTTGTTTCATCTCAAACACCTTTCCACCACTCAATGAAAAAACATACCACACCTTACTCAACTTCCTAAAATTCTTGATCAAATTAGCAATGAACTCAGGAGTATTAAAACTAGCTTCATAATTTATTCGTCCAGAATCTTTCACCAAAGAAATTTCATCTTCATTGTCATGCAAAGTTTTGCCTCCTTCAGCTTGCAGAAGATTCAATTCAAGAGGACAAGTAGATTGTTCAAAGGATTCGACTGTACGCAACAAAGCTCTTTGGACTAGACACTCTATAAGGTAGTATCTAGCCGCTTCAGAGAGGTGGACGAATAAAACCTCACAAGCACGAATATAAGTCTTTCTTCTTTTCGCATTCAAAACATCAATTGCATATATCATTGGTTTAGGGCCTAACCCTTCTCCATGGTTTAGTCGTGTACTTCCCAGTTTTACCCTTCAGTACTTTAAACCCTTGAATAATATACTCAGTCTTGTCAAACGAAAACCATTCATTTCTAGCATGAAAAGCAATCAAGTATAATGTCCCTCTTGAAACAAGAAATTTAGAAGATTTTTCATTTGGTGATACCACTTCCACCTCCACGAATGGATATCCTTCCACACATTTTAAATTCGGTATTCCATCAAAGACACTTCCACCATAGCAACCCATAAATCTTAACCAACCTAACAACTCCAAATATTTCGAACATCCACCACATTTGTCATTAATAAAGAATTTTCGTTTATAACTCAATGGCGTATGAGCATAACTAACAACCCTGAGAGAAGAAAATTTAGCAAATAATTGGTCACGTGAAAAAAACAACACAAAACCGAACACATGTATACACAAATATTTGCTTATGAGTATGCATGTGTTCAATTTTCTGTTGTTTTTTTCACGTAACCAATTATTTGGTTAATTTTCTTCTCTCATGATTGTTAATTACGTTCATATGTCATTGAGTTATAAACGAAATTCTTTACTAATGACAAATGTGGTGGATGTTCGAAATATTTGGAGTTGTTAGGTTGGTTAAGATTTATGGGTTGCTATGGTGTAAGTGTCTTTGATGGAATACCGAATTTCAATTGTGTGGAAGAATATCCATTGGTGGAGGTGGAAGTGGTATCACCAAATGAAAAATCTTCATAATTTCTTGTTTCAAGAGAGACGTTATACTTGATTGCTTTTCATGCTATAAATGAATGGTTTTCGTTTGACAAGACTGGTATATCATTCAAGGGTTTAAAGTACTGAAGGGTAAAACTGGGATGTACACCACTAAACCATGGAGAAGGGTTGGCCCTAAACCAATGATACATGCAATTGATATTTTGAATGCGAAAAGAGGAAAGGCTTATATTCGTGCTTGTGAGGTTTTCTTCGTCCACCTCTCTGAAGTTGCTAGATACTACCCTATAATCTCTAGTCCAAAGAGCTTTGTTGCGTACGGCTGAATCCTTTGAACAATCTACTTTTCCTCTTGAATTGAATCTTCTGCAAGCTGAAGGAGGCAGAACTTTGCATGACAATGAAGATGTATTTTCTTTGGTGAAAGATTCTGGACGAATCAATTATGAAGCTAGTTTAGATACTCCCGAGTTCATTATTAATTTGATAAAGTATTTTAGAAAGCTGAGCAAGGTGTGGTATGTTTTTTCATTGAGTGGTGGAAAGGTGTTTGAGATGAAACAAGGTGACGTTTCTCTATGTAATATGAAGTCAAGGAATAGCTTGAAATGTACACTTGTTGTGTTATGCAACATCAACCTAGAGAAAGTGTTGAAGGAATGGGTGAAAAAAGATGGAAGCTATCCCAATTTCGCTCTTCAAGATTACAAGGAAATGGAGAAGAAAGTTCGTGAAGTTCAAAAGAAAAGGGGGGTTCTTGTTCGTGGTAACTAGCCTTGACTGTTAGTGGGTCTTTTGGAGGCTCAGCTCAGTAGTATAGTGAATCCGTGACTGTTTGGTTTCATTTGTTTTTTGAAAAAACTGTTTGGTTTCATCTTTTTTTCTTTATTAGAAGTTTGTATTTTATACTTGAATGGGTTAGTCATGGGTCACTCGGTCATGAGTACTGATTGACTCTCGGAAAGGTCTTAGAATCTTAGATATATATATATATATATATATATATATATATATATATATATATATATATATATATTCTATGGAGTAATTGATTATCCTTGCTTTTGTTTTTGGCTGTTATAGCCATTCATTCAAACCGAGCTCCAAATTCACGGATTAAACAAATGAGAGCTATACTTGGGGGAGTTCGAGCAGCAAGATAACCAGAAATTTGCTTCCAATAAATATTTACTACTTGAATTTTTAATTCGAAGCTTTCGAGCCTCATTTTCCTTAAAATTAAGCGAGCACAGAGGTTTGTGTGTTGACTCTTTTATACACGTATTTATATCCTGACTTTGATTTGAAAGATAGCATGAAAGTAAGTTAACTTCATTCATATGACACCAGGAGGTAAGAGGATGTCTCCCAAATTGAAAATAATGACACAAAAATCAAATTTTGGGCCTGAAGTGTAAGGAGGAAAAGGGAACAAGGATAGTAGTAGTAGTAGTAATAATAATAATAATAATAATAATAATAATAATAATAATAATAATAATAATAATAATAATAATAATAATAATAATAATAATAATAATAATAATAATAATATAAATAATAATAATAATATAAATAATAATAATAATAATATTAATAATATTAATAATATTAATAATAATGATAATGATAATAATAATAATAATAGTAATCACTAACTAGTCTAATTTATTTATTAAATGATAGTATTAAAAAACAAGGCTACAATGGAAAAATTGTACAAATTGTAAGAATTAATTAGTCTCTCTTTTGAATAATAAGATTTTGAAATATACTGAAGTTCTCCATAATGCATTAATAATCTAATTGTTTTAAATGTGCACAAAAATTAACAATAATAATAAGCCATAGTAAAAAAAGTAAAAAATGAATAAGAAGAGTTGTGCCAGAAACATAAATAGAGTAATAACACTCATCTACAACAAAAAGAATATAGTGAGGTCGTTGTACCATACTCACACATCAGTGAGTAGATTAATATTTCTTCAAACAGGGGAGACTGAATGAATTAAGGCCCTTTCCACGCAGTGATGAAAGTTTAAAGGAGAAAAACCAAAATAAATGGCAAACTCAATGAGTTAGATTAAGATGTCTGACGAATCCAACCCTAGCTTTGGTTAATTATAAATAGCATAAAAATTAAAGACATTAATAAGAGAGTAATACTGGTAAGAGTCTAATACCCTAACTGACCGAAACATCTTAATATCCTAACTGACCGAAACATCTTAAATAAGAAGTATGATGATTACAAAATCTTATAAATAAATAAGTTTAGTAAACATGACCTTTGCACATGAGGCTTTTCAAATAGCTCATGTGCTGTCCGTGGGAGTTAAGTTTTTGTTAAGTATTCACATCAAATGAAAACTTGATAGAGAGAACAATCAAAAACAGCTTTTGTCCTAAGCTTAATTAGGAAATAAACAATGTTGGAGATTAGATTATAAGAATCACTAATGGAAAACTGATATATATATATATATAGAGACAAGAGATCAAATACAAACCATGCTTAAAATACTAACCTACAAACTCAATAATATGCAGCACTTTGAACTTCAATATGCAGTACAAATAATGTAAAGATGCATGCTGTGAACTTCAATATGCAATAGAAATAATATGCAATACTTTGAACCTCAATATGCAATACAAATAATATGCAACACTTTGAGCTTCAGTATGCAGTACAAATTATGTAAAGATGCACAGTTTGTGAAAGTTTGTAGGTTAGCATGGGAGAACTAGTTTGTATGTGATCTCACCCCTATATACCCTATATATATATAGGGATGAGTTCAAGTAAAAAGTAGTCTTACCATGAAAAGTAAGAAGAAATCTTGACCTTCCATCACTTGAAAATGGATGGATTAGATGAACTTTAAACACAAGAGATGATTTCAAAAAATGTGCAAACGTTTATACTTTATACTATAAAGTGGATAGTTACTGATTAAAAGTGCACCCATGCGAGTCCAAAAAGATTGTCAAAATTTTTCAGATTGTGCACTTTCTATTTTGTACCGCACTTTTGTGCTCTACGTGTGCACTTTTTTACTATTCTGATGCACATTTGTCACAATATTTTCAAAAAAAGTTCTCCAGAATTACAAAAACGCCACCGCGTTTTCAACTTAAAAATTGATCTCTTCCACCCATTTTATCACATCAATGACCAAGATTAGTTCTTAGTTTTCACCTAGGAAGTACTTTTTATTTGAACCAAATTCTATATATATATATATACTCCTAGGGGTGGGAAAAACCGAACCGAAATCCGGAAACCGACCCTGGACCGACCCGAATTATGATCCCGGTCTGGGTTTTTTCTTTTTAACCGGCCCGAATTTAAAAAAACCCGGACCGAACCGAAAATTCCGGGCTCATTAACGGGCCTTAAAATCTATAACCCGGCCCGGACCGAAAAAACCCGAAACAATTACTTTTAATATAAAATTAATATAGTATATGAATATAAATAAAATATTTCCTAATATATGATTATAATCACGGTGGATAAAAAAAGATTTAGTAACTTTTAGTGACTACAAATATGTTGAATTTGTTTAGCGTAATGATGACCATGAGAATATATTTATAGCAACTCTAGTAACTTTTTGATTTATAAAATTGGAAAAAGGGTCAAATACACCCACGTACTATATTCAATAGATCACTTGAACCCTTGTACTAAAAAAAGCATCAACTAAGTACACTTACTATCAATAAAACATCAATTTGACCAAATTACCGGATTGCAACTCCTCATAGCCGGTCATTAGATTGGGCGATTTACACATGCTTTTCATTCCTGTCTTATACGGAGTACAATACTTTTACCCCATAGTCCGTACATGCATGGTTCCCCACCTCCCCGGACCCCGGCTAGCTTTCTATCATTTTGTTCTTTTCTTTTCTTTATTTCTTTTTTGTCTTCCGATTGCATGGAATACAAAACTCTCTTCCACTTTTACTTCACTTCCCTTTTTAAAAAAAAAAATCTAAGAAATCTTAGGACATCTAAAATTCTTTTTGTATTTTTATGACACTTCATTTTTTAATTTTTAATTTTTTATGACGTTTCATTAATACGTATTTCCTCCATATTCTTTTGTTTGCTACACTTTCTGTTACGAAAATTACTATTTTTGTTTGCTACACTTTCCTTTTTTGACAAATTTTTATTTTAAAAAATAATTAAATTATTCTTACTTTTTCTATCTTTCATATTATCTTTCATATTTTTCCCCATCTATCATGTTTATTCTAAACTATTCATTACCTTTTTTATTTTTCCTTCAACTATCTCCTTTGTAAAACCCAATTGAATACGAAGGAAGTACATATATGTTTATATAAACATCTTTAGAATCTTAAATTCTAGATTTTGTTTACTTATATTTATCGTAAACATTTTTTTCCTATGTCATACACACATGCTAGAAGGCAGGGACTTATGCCTGCTAAATATAGCCTAACAGTGTTAGTCCAATTTTAACAAGAAGACCACATTTACTTAAAGTTAAACAATCAGGGATTGACAATAATAAAGGAACTTAGTCTACTTCTCTTTTTAAAAAATATTTCAGGTCAAATTGTCATCCAAATAAATTGCTTCTTAAGAATATTTTTCCTAGGACTGGGAATTTTTTTTCCCGAATCCCGATCCCGACTAGTCGGGAAGTTTTCCCTATCCCGACTAAGTCGGGACGAGTAGACCGGGATTTTTTTTAAAGTCGGGATCGGGAAAATCCTGACATCTCGACACTGTATGTGTGTGTGTGTATAGAAATAGAAATATATATACATGTATATAATTATATATGAATATATAAAAATGAATGTACAATAAAAATGAATATGTATCTAAATATTTGCATATCTTTTTTACTTACTTATTCCGTACATAGATTAATCTTTTATGTTACAATATCAAATTCTAAAACAATTAGGCATTTGTCCCAAACTAAATATTCTGGATCCTAAGTAAATAGAGATTATTCTTGACCCCAAAAAAGAGTAGCTGTTAGAACTATTTTATTGTGAATCAAGTTTGTGTGTTATGTTTTGTTTGTTTATTAGTATAGCTTACCATTTATGGTATTGAATAAAGTGTAATAAATAGGTTGTAAAGGAATAAAGCCCAAAAAGGATCTAGGCCCAAACTCCTACACACCCTAATTAGGTAACCTATACAGCGCCTATAAATATGTGCGTTCTGTACAGGTACCAATGTCGATCACTCTATTCTCTAGCCTTATGCTGTAAAAATACTTCTCGATACAATAGAAAGAAGAATTTTTCTGTTCTCGATATTGCCTTATCATTATCAGATCTTCTTCTATGTTTATTGATGAATACCATCTAGTTGTGAGTTAGTCTACAGAAATCTGGGACCAACAGTAGCAAACAAAAGAATGAGGATGGATTATATATTAATGAAAAGTCATAAAATTGAAATTGAAAAATAATTTTAGATCTCCCTCTAACTTTCTAAGTTTTTTAGATTTAAATCAGAGAAGTAAAGTAAAGAGAGAGAGCAATTCGTGTTCAATTGTTTTCTACTAAGGAAAAATAAAAAGGTAATGAATAGTATAGAGGAAGCAGGGTAAATGGTGGAATAATATGAAAGATAATATGGAAGATAGAAAAGGTAAGAATAATTTAATAAGTTTTATAAATAAAAATTTATCAAATAAGGAAAGTGTTGCGAACAAAAAAGTAATTTTCGTAAAAGAAAATGTAGCAAACAAAAGAATATGGAGGAAACATGTATTAATGAAACATCATTAAAAATGAAATGTCATAAAAATACAAAAACAATTTTAAATGTCCTAAGATTTCTTAGATTAAAAAAAGAGAAGTGAAGTAAAATGGGAAGAGAAATTTGTACTCCATTTCCATACATTCGGAAGACAAAAAAAAAAAAGAAAAGGAAAAGGAAGGAACAAAAATGAAGAAAGAGAAAGAGCTAGCCTTGGAACTGTGTACATACAGACTATGGCGTATGAAGTATTGTACTCCGTATAAGATGGAAAAAAACGAAAAGGTAAAAGCATGTGTCAAATCATCTGATCCAATGACCGGCTATGGAGTAGCAATCCGGTAACTTGATCAAATTGATGTTTTTTTAATAGTAAGTGTATTCAGTTGATCCTTTTTTTAGTACAAGGGTTCAAGTGATGTTTTGAATATAGTATATGGGTGTATTTGACCCTTTTTCCTATAAAATTTATTTCGTAATATTTTTAAGAAACCTATATTATTTATATATATACATCTTACATAAAATATTAAGATAATTATCTTCTTTAAATTTGAATTGTTAGTGATTTTGGAGACTAAAATTTGTGTTATTATTTGCGGTTTGTATTTTTGATTAATTTTATTTGAAAATACGTGTTAAAATATAAAACAATGACATATTTCACGGCCGGGCTTTAACCGGTCCAACCCGAACCCGGACCGAACCCGAGCTACCAAAAACCCGACTCGGACCGAATATAATGGGCTTTGTTCCGGTCCCTAATTTTCATAACCCGAGACCTTCCGGGTAATTTCCGGGTTTAGCAAAAACCCGACCCAGACCGGACCGATCTCACCCCTGTATACTCCCCCTCCGTATTCTAAAGTTTGTTACACTTTCCCTTTTGGGATGTATTTAAAAGTTTGTTACACTTTCCCTTTTTGGTAAGTTTTTTCCTTTACAAATACCCAACTACCCTTACTTTTTCTACTTTTTATCTCTCTTTCCTACCTTTTCACCTTCTCTCCTACTTTTTCTACACTATTCATTACCCCTACTATTTCCTTCTAAAATATTGTGCCAAAGCCTAATGTAGTGATCTTTACAATACGGAGGGAGTATATACTATCGTGTATACTAGCATGGCAGCGCCCGCAATCCGTGCCCAACGCTGGAAAACAAGCAACAAAGTTGTGCAAAACTAATTAAAATCAAAACAGAAAAGAGTAGTTCAATCATGACACTTGCACCATTCAGCATCCCGAAATGTTAACAAAAGAGGAAAAATTGCAGTTACATCAACGATAGAAGCAGTTCAAGAAACAAGAGATGATAAAATTTGTATTTTTAAATGACTAAAAATACCCCCCCCCCGAACAAAAAACACGAAGCATAAAATGAATTTGTACAAACGAGTTAGCAGCTATCATTACACTACACATCACTACACAGAAATGATTCACTAAACATTAAAAAGTAGATGTTTATGGTGCTTCCCATAAAAGACGCTAAACCTGATGGTAGTGGGCTTATCCAATTTATATACTCCGTATAAAGTTTAAGACTCATGATGCATGCTCATTTTCACTTCAAACAAATATTCCATGCAAACAAGGAATATAAAGAAATATATTCTATATACCTGTAATTATCAGGGTTCATAGACAGTAACATCTTATGCAATCTTTTCACTTCTTCAAAATGGCAAAGCTTTAAAAGAAGATGGCCATCTTGCTCCTTGTATCCCAGCTTATCAACCTAAGGAGCATTTATTGCACTCAAACCATTCCAAGGCTCAAATATCTAAATGTCTTACCAATTTTCAAATTTCTAGTTGTGTGCATCCAGATAATTATGTAATTGCAACTTAGGGGAAAAACATCTACCAACCCAAAGTCTCATTGTCAAGGGTAAAGCAGCTATTTTCCTAGTTGTGTGCAGCCGAATAATTATGTAATCGAAACTTAGGAAAAAAACATCTACCGACCCAGAGTCTTACTGTCAAGGGTAAAGCAGCATTTCCCCATGCTCGCAACATTCATTTCCTGGGAATAATTATCATCTAGAGTCCCTTCATACGCGTCAAGGATAATTATCATCTAGTGTGGATCACCATAAACTCGACAATCAACAACCTGTGTAAAAGGACAGTCAAATAATTAAGATACCACATTAGGGAAAATGCTACTTAAAAAATATAGAAGAAATATAGAGATAACTTAGAAGGAAAGTAAATGTGAGAGAAAATAAAACATTGGTTCAAATTAATAAACAAATTTTGATGTTTTTCAAGATCTATGATTTTTCTATTTTTTATTCCATATAGATTAAGAAATGTAAATATGTTTAAAAATTTAAAATCATTAATCATTGCCCAACTTCCTTTTCATTTTCCATTATTAAACCATACACAAGAAAATGAGTTGTAGTGGTATTTTTTCTCTCCCTACCACTTTTAGAGATCTAAACAAACCCCAAGGGTCAGTTTGAACTCGGAAAATGTCAAGAAGAGAAAGAACAATGGGGGAATAGAACATCAGTTCAAGAGCAATAAATTTATCAGGAATATTTGGAACAGAGGAAATTCATCAGTTCAAGATATTCTATCTGAACATAAACATACTGAAAGGGAAGGATTGGAACAGAGGAAATGCTAGGGAAAGAAAATCAGGAGGAAGGTATAGGAGAAATCTGGACGGAAAGAAAATGTAAACAAAATACAATTTCAGTTCAAACTCAATAAACTTATACGTAGTAATGTAGTATTATATATTTGTCGAAACTATTTCTTATTTATTTATTTATTTTAATTATGTAAATGCTAATTATTCTAAACATCAGTTAAAAAATCAAAACATTAATGATAGGCTATTTATTTCCCTTTCCTCTTCTAAGCTAAAACAAAGCATGAGTAAATAACTCTAGTAGATTTTATTTCCTTTCCGTGGCAATGTCCGTATTTCCAGGTAAGAAATAAATCCTTAGTGAAAACAATTAGAAAAGGCAAATGAGACAATAAATGGCTTCAGTAAGAATACATTTTAAGTAGACCTTAAATATATAAGGTATATGAACAGGTGTGCGTTGACAAGAGGTGATGGTCATAAGATTAAACAGGTGATGAAACTATATATAATATATAAGGCTTCTAACCTTGGATATATGAACACCAAGGTTGCGATGTCCGCCTGAGCATTCAATGCAGACAAGAACACCAAGGTTCAAGGATGCCCAATCGAGTTCAGTAGTACCACAATCAGCACATTTGTCATTCCCGCATACTTTCAGTAAATGTCTCTATTGGTTGTTCAGCTCTCAAATGAGCAATCAAATGAGCTGCTGTCACTTGCAGATCTATGATGAGCGCCACCACCCATTAGACCAGCAGAAAAACGATGCAAACAATACCAAAAAGACTGTAAATATGCAGAGTGAGTTTATGGCTAATGTTATACGGTAGAATATCCTGTGTAGCTAGCAAAGAAAAAATAACACCAGTAATCTTTTCAATCCATTCCATTTGATCTAGGGCGCTCTTAGCCTGCACCCAAGCTGAGAAAAGTTTAATTTCCAATCCCGCACAGACCAACAACATGGCAACACAACAATAATTCACCTGCAATGTGTAGCTTTTTGTTGGCGAGATAATTCTGAAGAAAAACCGTAGATCCGACTGGTCAGCATCAACCTTTATAGTTGATGTTAAAAGATTTACAGTGTGATGGAAATGGCTTGGGTAAACTTGAGAGGTGACTGGAAAGGGCGCTTTTTTCAGAGTTGAAGCTAGCTAGGTTCGTCCTAAAACTGATATGATTTTATGAAGAGAAGAAGCGTGATCAAAACAAGAATGAGATGCCAAAATGTGATTGGGAGTGCAAGAAACGTTCCTTAAACTAGGACCTGTGGGATGGGGTGGTGGTGCCATGTTGTGGTCCACTCTTTCCAACTAAGTCTAATTAAAACCACCCTACACTTAAAGCCATCTACCTGTTACGTTCCTTCTCTGGGCATTTGGATGGGACCACTCGTTACGCTTGATGACTAATCACCCAGCTGATAGATCAGATTGGTTTGGACTTTGGATATGTAAAAATAAGATAACATCGTGATTTTGCTAAGCCACTAATAAGCTAAGATGGCATGAACTCTAACCAAGTACGATGCATAATTATCAAACTTGGAGTTGCTAAAAGACAACAAAGCGCAAACATGATTCATGTAGGGCTCCATTTGATGCAAAAGGTGTTAGAAAGATAATAAGAACTGAAATGGAATCATCTTATTGATATCAGAGAAGAGTACAAGTATTTATAGTCATCAAGACTGTAACTAACTCATAACAAACGCAAACAACTATAACAAGCTATCCGGTTCTAATCTGCTATAACAAAACTTATTACAAATCTGACATGTACAATATTCCTAACATTCCCCCCTCAAAGTTAGGGTGATTGATTTGAACATTCAATCACACTAAGTTTGGTTCTCAAATCAAGAAAAGAAGTAGATGATAATGGCTTGGTGAGAACATCAGCTACTTGATGATGAGCTGGAACATGATAAACTGCAAGTTGCTTGGACTGAACCTTTTCTCTGCAAGTTGTTAGGAATATTGATGATTCCATATCTGATTTGGGTAGTTAGGGTAGACAGTTTGTTGAGGAAAATTAGTTGGGTAAGAGGGGTGAGATGGATGAATAATTGGCTGATTGGAATAGGTATTGGCAGATTGAGAGGATGAAGATTGTTGATTCCAGGTGTTGGGAGGTGCAGAATTAGGAATAGAGTAGTTTGGATTAGGAGCAGCGTACGCAGGATTATATCTGTGATAACAGTTTAAGGCATTGTGATTTGATTTCCCACAAACTTGACAGGTGACAGTACTCCGACCTCCATAGCGGCCACCACGTCCTCTAGTGAAACCTCCACGGCCTCGTCCCCTGTAGGAAGGATTGGAGGACTGATTTTGAAACTGAGCAACGTTTGTTGAAGAATTTTCTGCAAGTGTGGAATGAACAGCTTCAGAATTAGATGGCTGAACCTCCGCACGAGCTAAATTGGCAGAAAATAAAGTCTGTTGAGATGATTCACGTAGTTTCTTCTGCCGTAACTCTTTTGCAAGCAATAGAGACTCGAGCTCTGAAATAGTAACCGGGTCCAGGATACTTCGAGATGAAATAGAAGAGACAAGTGATTCATACTCTTCTGGAAGTCCTTCTAGGATGACGTTAACATGATCCTTCGTAGAGATAGGTTCACCGATATTCATCAGATTGTCAACGATGTGCTGGCTTCGGAGCAGATACTCTGTGATCGATCGATCACCCTTTCCGGTTGAGTATAGCTCAGATTTTAGCTGCCTAGCTCTGGCGACAATGTTTGCTTGAAAGAATTTATCGATTTCGTTCCAGAGTTGGTACAAATGTTGGCAATGAATCACTCGAGTGTGTAGGGTTTCAGAGAGCGACGCTAACAGCCACGAGAACAGCATCTGATCTTGCTGCTCCCAAGTTACATAGGCATCGTTCTCAATCTTTGTATCTGCTTCATCACCAGCTATGAATTTTTCAGGATTTCAGGTTTTTCAATAAATCTGAGCAATTTGTGAGCACGGATTGCAGATCGAACATGATGTTTCCATAGAAGAAAATTGTTAGAATCAAGTTTAATTGGAAGTGGATGATTGAAGGTAACTATAGCGGAAGTATTTCCAGGAGTTTGAGAAGAAACGGAAGTTGAGCTTGAGATCGTCATGGAGGAACGAGCTTACAGCTCTGATACCATGTTAGAAAGATAATAAGAACTGAAATGGAATCATCTTATTGATATCAGAGAAGAGTACAAGTATTTATAGTCATCAAGACTGTAACTAACTCATAACAAACGCAAACAACTATAACAAGCTATCCTGTTCTAATCTGCTATAACAAGACTTGTTACAAATCTGACATGTACAATATTCCTAACAAAAGGTCATACCCCTATGTGTATAAATGGCAGTAAGTGAGATCTCAGAAACAATGTCAGTGGCCAAAAGATGAAAAGAGATGGCGTAATTAGGGCAATACCAAATAAACAATCTTAGCAAACAATATGATGAATAATGCTGCAAATGGACCGCCTTAGAACCCTAATTTGAGAAAGTATTGACTGAGCTTTCAAATCATAGACATGACTGAAATTCCTCTCAGAATTCAACTGCAGTTTCCAAATTCAGATAACCACCCAGCTCAGACATCCAAAAACTCAATACAGAATTGTAAACAGATCGAGAATATTCTTGAAGCTCACCAACCCATGGAAGGGACCACGAGAATCCAAAACCCAAACACCAAAAAGGGAATTTTTGCTGCCCAATATGCTACTGGAGCGAGAAGTAAGTCCTGAAAGTAGTGAATCTGCACTAAGTTCTTGTAACAGTGTGAATGAGAGAAACAAACCTGGAACAAAGGCGGCTAAGTCGTGAAGTGACGGTTACAAGCCGGATTCATAGCTTCGAGGCCGGAAGAGTGTTGCCGAAAAATTTCGCCGCCGCGAACCACCTGGCGGACTTCCCGTCAGCAATTTGGAAAAAGAATCTGGAGAGCATCCTCACTCACTGCATTGGGGGAGAACGGCAAACGGCCTTATATTATATAGGGAAAACCGTCAAATTGGCTTTATTTTCTTTTTTCTTCCCATCATTTCTTTTCTTCCTTCATCCTGCGGAACCAGCCCTCCCCCCTCTGTTCTTCTTCAGCGCACCCCACCCCCTCCTTCTTCTTAAGCCCACCTCTCTTTTTTCTTCTCTTCTTCAGCCCGCCCCAGCCCCTCCCTTTCCCTTCGTTCTTCTTCTTCTTAAGCCCACCCCCTGCCTTCTTCTTCTCCCACCGGCCACACCCCCACCTCACCCCGGCCTCGTATTTCATAGCCATTCAGAGTTTAAAGACTGAACTCATTCATTTACTCTATTGTTCCTGCCCATTATATAAAAAACTAAAGTCATCCTATAAATATCAAATCTTTTGGAGAGAAGCATTTCTAAATTCAAATAGAGGAATATGAAATTTGTGTCAGATCAAAAGGGGGTTGAAGAAGAACAAGGGATGGAGTGTGTGGGTTTGAGAAGAAAAAGAAAGGGGGGAGGGACGGACCGAAGAAGAAGAAGTAAGAAGGGGGGAGGGGGCGGGGCGGGCTGCGGAATAAGTAGGGGTAAATGAGTCAAGCAGCTAGCGAGCTCTTGGATGGCTCTAGAAAAGCTATACTCAACTCCGATCATATTAAGCTCGACTCGAGTTCGGCTCGACTCGAATAGTTAACAAGCTGGTTTGTGAGCTTTTGTGTCATATTTTATATATTTTATATCTAATTATATGTAATATGTAGTAATTATATATGTACTTTTTGGGAATATGTATTCTAATTTAGGATTATCCCATATTTAATAGTTTTTCACGGAGTATATTACTCCGTATAATAGTAATAATTAGAAAAATAATTACATGTATGTAATATTATTATTATAACCATAATTGGTAATAATTATAATATGTACCCGTAATATTTGTTGACGGTAAAATAAAGAATAAAAATGTCAGCAAAGGAGCAGTAGACTAAAATGAGAATGAATAGGTACACATATTATATTTTTAGCTTGAGTTCGATCATCTTATTCGAGTTCAAGCCCATAAAAATTAATTTGCGAAACTTGACCCGAGCTCGAACCGAGATCGAATTGAGCTCGAGCCGAGCTCGACTCGAGTTCGAGCCCGAATTATTTAACTCGTCCAAGCTCGAGATCGAGCTTGAGCTCGTGAATTCTTATCAAGCTCAAGCTCAAGCCTACCCATGCTCGGGCTCGGCTCGGCTCGTTTACACTCCTAGGAAAAAGTAAGAAGGCGAGGTAGGGTGGGATATGCAGATGGAGGCAGGGACGGATCCAGGAAATTGACTCAAGGGGGGCGAAATTTTTCGTTAGTGTAGATGGCGAAAAATTTTTCGTTAATGTAGCGGCGCGAATTTTTTTCCATAGTGTAGTGGGGCGAATTTTTTTAGTGTTGTAGGGCTATGCGGCTATTTTAATTCAAAAAATGACATTAATACATACACATTCCCAACGATATTTAAATCTATTACATTCTAAGTTTAGACAATGACAAAGATAATGACAAAGGGGGGCGGTCGCCCCCCGCGCCCCCCCTAAATCCATTCCTGGATGGAGGGGATGAAGTGATGGACGATGGACTAATGGAGTATGCTTCTTCGTATGAGAGGAGAAGGAAAAAAAGATAAAAAGAAAGGAAAAAGAAAAGAAAAATGATTTAAAGTATGCCACATGGAGGATCCGTCCATTGTACAACCGGCTGTACGGTGTTCACCGTACAGTCGGTGGCATTTTTGTAATATAATGTAAAAATCGTGGTTTCTGCTAAGTGATCATTCGTGTACTGTTAATGAGCAAGAATTCAATCTTAATGAGTATTAGGAGTCTAATAATGAACGTCGTGTTATTAAATGAAAGTTGATATCACAGCTAAAAAAATGGTGGCATTTTTGTAATTTACATGAAATTCGCGTCTTGTACTAAATGAGCATTAAAACACGTCTAGTGAGCATGTGACATATTTTGTTTAGCATTACACGCATAACAATGAGCATCGTGATCTCTGTTTCACCTCTTATAATTTACTTTCTTTTCCTTTTTTTCTAAACTTTTGAAATATGCATTGTTATGCCATTTTACAAATGAGCATAACATGAATAGTCGTTGAGCATACATAACTTATAAAGTGAGAATTGGTATTTAACATGTGCAACCTTTAAAAATGAGCATAAAACAGTAATAAATGAGCATACATAACTTACAAAATGAGTATCAAAATATTAAAAATCTCATTTGTGTGTGCTCATTCATTTTGGGCGTTATAATCATTTGAGTTTAACATAAAACTCATTTCTGATTTGTTCAATATTCATTTGTGTATGTTCAATTTTTTTAAGCGTATACTCATTTGAGTTTAATATAAAGCTCATTTGAGATCACTAATATTAAATGAGTACACTTTAATTACAAAATGAGCATTCAAAAAAAATCAAAAAACTCATTTAAAATGTGTAGTATGCTCAGAATTTCTTTTGTATATATCCATATATGTACAACTGTGTATAGCTAATGTTTCTCCTGAGTTAAAGCCAAACAAGTTACCAAAATCATCAAACCTAAACCTAGTAAAAAAAAATCATTGAACCTAAACGAAAAGAGTTCATAAAAAGAGAAGAAAGAGCCCAGCCCTATTCATCCGCCGGCGTTGTGATCTCTACACACAAGCTGGAGTCTGATGCCGTTTTTCTGGGCCGGATGATTGCTAGTCTACGACAACGAGCGAAGAGTAGCAGCGAATAAGGAAGGGAACGACCGAGCAAGCAGCCGGCGAAGGTAGGGAAGCAGATCGAAGAAGGAGAAGGTAGCGCGCATAAGCCCAGAAGGAAAGAAAACGCCGGCTGCACCGTGCGCACGGTACAGCCGGCTGTACGATGTATTTTACCGCCACATGGATTGCCACGTACGTAGATGACCCGTTGACGGGAAAAAACCTACTAAATTCAAAATTTGATCTTTTTTGCACAGTTCAAGGACCTAATTGAACGTTTCTATAGTTGGAGGGCTTAATTGACTTTTATGGTATACTTCGAGGGCCAATTTGACAGTTTTCCCTATTATATACTAAATATTATATTTTAGAGTCCCGTTCGAGTCAGGCCGGCCTGACCGGAAGCCCCGTGCGGCCTTCCCCTTTTGGGGCCTTTCCTGGTGGAATTTTTTGATGAAAGTTTTGAGCATGTTCCTCATCAAGTCTAGTTTATCCATACCAAATTTCAGCTCGAAATTTGATCGGGAAGGCAATCAAACAATTTCTTGAAACATATTGCACTTTATATATGCGCAGAATGCCCAATATGTTTCAAGAATTTATTTGACTGTCTTCCCGGTCGAATTTTGACCCGAAATTTGGTATGAATAAACTAGACTTGATGAGGAACACACTCAACAAATTTCATCAAAAAATTCCACAGGGAAGGCCCCCAAACGGGGAATGCCGCACGGGGCTGTCCGGACAGGCCGCCTGACTCGAACAGCCCTCTTATATATTATATTATATATTATACATTATACTCCCTTCGTCCCTAAGACCATTTGGAGGGGTGTAGAGTCCAAAAAGTCAAAAAATGACTCCGTCCATACGAAAACAATGTTTCGACTCTTATTTCCTGCATTCCAGCATCGTCAATAAAATACACTCTGCATATTTTTTACATATCAATTTAGTAAAACATTAATTAAATTATTTTAATTAATTTTTTCCTTTTAATTTCTTTTCAGATTAATTACAAAATAAAAGGGACACGTTTTGATATAAGAATAATTAAATTTCAATATTTTTTTAACGTTAAATCAATTTTTTTACGTTAAAAAACACTCAGATCTACCATATTTTTATTTAAAAAATCAGGCTTTGTTGTTGCAAAAAAACAAAGCCTGTTGTAGGTGCTAAGTGACGTCATCGCGACATCACCGAGTCAACTGTATCCGTTCGCACCAGGCCACACGTGGCCTATTGGCCTTTTCCCTCTGCATGCCATCCCATCCGCCCCACTCCCCTATTTTACTTTCCTTTTCATTTTCTTTTTGGGAGTCCATATCCCTCTAAATTTAACCCCTTCCCTCCCCATACCCATTTTTAATACCCTTTATAACACACCAATGTATGAAATTAGGAGTCCAAAATTGCCATTTTTGACATTTTGGACTCCTAATACCCACCACTCCAATTGGTCTAAGACAATTTGTAGTGGTGTGAGAGTCTAAATGTTAAAAATAGACTTCGTTCATATGAAAACAGTGTTTTGACTCCTATTTCTCTCCACTAATCTTGAGTGTTTTCATTAGAACTAAATGTTAGGACCAATTTTAGGAACTTATCAGCTCTCTTGAATAACAAAAAAAGATGACACCCCATCCCTGAGGCCCCCAACACCAACTGGGCAGCACGATGGGAGGATGTAAATTGGACTATAATCACAATCTGACAGATAGAGAGTGGGGCTCCGTCCCCGGTACTTGCAAAGCCCTCTGATACTCTCTCATCGCAGTTGTCGGGAGTCGAACCCGGGACCTAAGTTCTCTCGAATAACAATAAATGGTTTAGCTTATGCAGTAAAAGCTAGGTTGTTGCAACTTACTCCGTCTTTACCTTGTAGCTAGTGTACTAGATCCCGTGGAAGTTAGCTCCAATAAGCTTCAATTTATTGAATCTTAAATTTTGAAACAAAAGCCCAAAATACTGCTCTAGAATTCAAAACCAACTATTTTCCTTTGAAGTCGTCTTCTTTACAACTATATGAAGTAAAAGATATCCTTTTCATAATTTCTTTACCAGGCTGAAAAAGATATTAGGCTATTATTTCATATTTAGGCTACTATTATACTCCGTATGTTTTAAGGTATTTTCACTTTGTCATTAGCTCTTGCTATTACTACATGGTTTAAATAATTTCTCTTTCTTATAAGCTATTATTATTGTTGGGAAGCTATAAAGACTAAAAGTAGCTATTATGTTTCTCATTACCTTTTCATTTAAAAGCTATATTAGTTTTTCAGTAGTTATTTTTGTAATCTAAATTCCGATATAAATGGCTATTTATTTCAGTCATTACCTTTTATTTAGAAACTATATATATAGGGGAGGGTTCAAGTAAAAAGTAGTCTTTCTATAAAAAGTGAGAACAAATTTTGGTCTTTCATCACTTGAAAATGGATGAATTAGATGAACTTTAAACACAAGAGATGATTTAAAAAAATGTGCAAACGTTTGTACTATAAAGTGGATAGTTACTGCTTAAAGGTGCACTCATGCATGTCAAAACCCCACACTTATTGAAATGTTCAGTGACGACGTTCAATGCCCATATTACATGCCCACAAACCCTAAATTCAATATAAAACCAAATCTCAAAAAATAAAAAAAAGGAAGAATGAGAGGGGCGAATGGGAAACAACGAAGGTGAGTTGGAGTGCCTTCATGCTGCTGGATGGCGACTTTGGTTGGATGGAGACGGAGGGGCGCGAATGGGTGGCGGCGTCTGCACGTACACATCGGGGCGAAGGTTGGGGCGCGGATGGGAGGT